TTTTCTCTGGTCATGAAGCATCAATGTCAAAAGTACTTGCATCTTTCTACTGCATAGACAGCCTAGTATATGAAACGACCATCTCCTCAGCAGTGAAATACTTCTTTAAAGGATTCAACTATGCTCTGAATTGCCCAAGCAGGTGCACAGAAATGGAGACAAGTTATAGCATTCAACTCCCAGCTCACAGGAGCATTGTGCACTTGGCTTCTAATGTTACATGCCTTGGCTCCGTGTGCACGGCCGGCCACTGCGCTTGTGAAACTTGCCCTCAGCTATCAGCACAAAGAACCCCATGACTGGACCCAGACTGTTGCCATAATTGCCGCTGAGTTCAGAAAATGGAGCCCCTCACAGTGGTGAGAGTGATAAGAAAACTGCTTAGTTGTTTTGTTTCCAGCTGGGTTCGTCTGGTGTTCTCCACAGCGCAAGTCCCTCAAAGTCTCCATTAGGAGCAACTCCAATCCAGGCATTTTCTCCCTTTTCTGTGATTCATTTCTTGGTCTGCCAGACACCCTACATGGTGCATAATGACGTGCTTTGGATAAACGGCTGCCTCAGCAGTTCCTCCGTGCTTTGTGGCAGAGTGAAACCCTTTTTATGTGACTTCAGTCTCAGCTAGTGAGATGGGTGCCCTCTGAGTCTCTGGCTCACACAGGGAATTCTTTTAATAACTGACTATAAGGTTTTAAATGATTCATACAGTTAATTATCATAACAGATTACTTCTTTCAAATCATAGGAAGTTCTTCTATGAGACAGTGTGACTCAGGGGGACTGGAGACATTTGCCTTTGTAATTTTTCTTCATTTTTAGCTACAGTAGCAATGTTCATCACTCTGGTCCGGACTAAAATATGAACTCTACATTTGACATTCAGAGGATGGATCCTGATCATTTCAGTGATCTCCTGACTTTTTCTGGAGCGCCACCATGAGGCCCACATTTCATGTTTTTAGTGAAATGTCTCAACAACTATTGGATGGATTTGAAAGATTTGGTACATGTCTTCATCATCCCTAAAGGATGATTCCTAATGACTTTGGAGATCCCCTGACTTTTCCTCCAGTGTCACCAGCAGGTCAAAGTTTTCCTTTATATAGTAACATATCTCAACGTCTATGAAAAAGATTGGCATCAAATTTGGTACAGACATTCATGTGCCCCTCAGGACAAACTGTAGTGACTTCTGTGATCCCTTAACTTTTCATCTGGTGCCATTATGAGGTCAAAATCATTTTCATGTGACGATCGTAGAGCTGCAACTAGCAGTCATTTCCATTATTGATTAATCTGTCAGTGTCTAGAAGCTGTCAGAATATTGTGGAAAAATGCCTGTCACGAATTCCCAAAGCCCAAGGTGAAGTCTTCAATTGTCTTGTTTTGTGTGACAAACAATCCATAACCCAAAGGTATTCAGTGCACTGAGGAGACCAGAAAATATAAATGCTTGAGAAGCTGTAACCAGAGAATTTTGGCATACATTAATTTAAAAATGACCCAGAAAGATTGATCACCAGAATAGTTTTTGGAGGAGTGGCAACCCATAACAAGCTTTGCTGGGTGAAAAGGAGTAGTTGCCAGCTAATTTTCCGTCATCTTGTACTTTGGATTAAAACGGCATTCCTGCAAGTCCAAGGACAATTCCACTGGCTCCATTTGTACTTAAAGTCAGTGTAAGATGGTGAACATGATAAACATTCACCTTGCTTAACAGAGGCATGTTAGCATAGTCATTTTTAAACATGGTAGCATGCTAATTGTAGCAAAGATTGCTGTGCCTAAGTCTTTCTTAACAGACTCAGTGCCCTGTTTATCCCTATGGGTCCGAACGACGCATAGTGCATCCAAATTCACACCTGTTCTTCTCTATTGATTTTCTCCGAGACCGTGCATCATAGCGAGAAGCCACGCATATCACGTGAAACAGCGGAATTGTAGCTTTCCGACAAGGCCGAGCACTTGTCAGTAGTCCAGTGTTTTCACAGTGAAAAAAAATGATAAAGTTACACTAAAATTATGTATAACAGAGCTTTCATGCAGCTTTGCACACACATTACTCTTGGATGGATTACTCGCGAATGCAGGGTCGCACAGAAATGCCACGCATATCACATGAAAGCGCAGGAGCAGACCTTTCCAATGATACCAAACACATCATTGTGCTGTCATCCCATCATGCTATAAATCCAGATTAACTGTCTACAAAATAAAAACCTAACGAATTTCTTTACAAACCATTATACAGATCTTGTTATCAGTCACTTCATATAGTGAGGAATATCGTATCTTACCACATCTTAGGCTTGCGTATGTTTCTCCCTGTCTATCCACATTTGTAGTCCGGCTTTCAAGATGCAAATATCTCCATATTGTCCAGTTGACACTCCATAAAACTTTGTATGACAAGACCAGCCACTTCACCTTTGCGCACCCAGCCTAATTATGCATGCATGTCAGGGCAGTAGTAGTCACCATATACATTGAGGGGACACGTGCCCTCCCCAATATATAACTGAAACTGAAAAACAACAACAAACTTTGTTTACTGCAAACAAAGTGGCAACTATTATCTTGGAGGACATCATTGCACTTGGTTGAATATTTTTCTATGATCTTAGATGTAAATATTGCATGTTTCTTTCAGATAAAACACATTTTTGACTTGTGAATGTGTCAATGGAATTTCTTGCAATAATGAAAAAAATACTGGCAATCATGTCCGCCTGGCACAAACCACATGTTTTGGACAACTGTGAAGTGACAGAATGTCTCACCATCATGGTTCTTATATTGCCAGATTCCAGAGAGTCTTCCCTCTTCATATATGGCAGAATATGTCATTTTCCAACTTGCTATGCTGAGATACATGTAAAAATGTAAGAATTTAGTAACACAGATTTGTTTTTTTTATTGATATAAAACTTAATATAAAATACAGGCACATAGAGGGACATGTAATAATGGCAAATCTGGTTAGCTCAGATTGTCCTGAAAAAAAAAAACCAAGATATAGCATGTGTATGTAGCCTTTATAATGACTGTGATATGAGCTTAAAAGTAAAGGCAGTAAAAATACCCCCAAAACGCCTAGCGCCCATAGGGTTAAATGATCTATAGTGCATGGTGCAAGTGCATTTAGGGTGTGTCCAGCTCCACTTTGCTAGTTAGATGGTGCATAATCTGGGTGCAAAGTAAGGTGCAAAGGGCAAAGGGGTTGTATTTAGTCTCTCAATTAATCATAGATGTGTTTTGGGTGTAACTGATTATATGAATTCAACAAATCAGAGTGTCATTTTCCATTCCCTATAATGCAGCAGATATGGATGAACATTTAAGCAGCAAAACTAACAACTCAATTGATAAACTTGACAGATGAAACAGAATTAAATTTTTAACTTCTGAAAAAATCAGTGACGTCATGCTGCTCCTAGTGCGGAAATGCGCAAAGCGTCTCTCGTAATGGGGGCTTGCACAGCTGATCTGCTCTGCTGTCTGCTCTGTTCATATTATAAAGAATTTAATTAATATTTTTCTCATTAATGATGTATTAGTTCACCCACCTGCCACCCATCCATGCATCTCTGTGTGTGTAACAAGCAGAGTGTATGCATGTTGTGAACCCTTCTGTCGCCGCATCTTACTGAATCTAAATAATGCGCCCTTTGAATAGTGGGGACAATACTGTGCTATACACTGTAGACCAGGTTTTTATTGGTCAATACTTTCTGCTGCCTCAAAATAGCAACACAGCAACAATGTGCCTGACCACACCTCATTTGAAGACCTACTCACCCATGGGCATTTACATTTACGACTTGCACAGCGTGAATGATGGATGTGAAAGGGACAACTGTGTCAGTGTGAAACTAGGAATGTTAGTTGCGGTGTGTGCTGCTTTGCTCCAGGTGTAAGATAGCGCCAGTCGTCCTGTTTGACTATTATCTAAGGCTGAAGTATTTGTCTTTAGTGGTCTGCTTTGCCAAATTTCATGTTCTTTCTCAATGCACCTCAAAGTTGTCAGAGAAAACTGGTGTATTATAAGCCACGACAAGTGAGTCACAAAGCATCTGCTATCAGGGGAGCTATTACTTGATGTAATGCCCCCAGTCTAACTACAATAGCCAACTCCCTCTGCTATTCTATTTTCCTGGTCTTTGGATTGATGATGCAATTTCTCAGTCCAGCTCCCTGGATGATTAGCAGACCTTTGCCTTGGAAGGCAGCCCTCATATTCCCCATCACAATGTGTTCTCTCTCAGATTTGAACAGAACTGTTGTTAGGCTGCGACACTGCTGAAAAGATGGGATGTTCCCTCCCCTCTCGTCCCTGAGGCCCAATGCATGTGAATCCATGTGACATATGCTGTCAGAAACACGTACCCACATTATTATATGCATTGACTCTAAGCAGGCATGAGCTTTCGATCAAACAGGCACATACACATAGTCACATAAACAAGCACTCTTCCCCCTTGTGTGTCCCCAGACACTTGGGGCCCTGAGGCTCCCACCCCCCAGCCTGGCCTCTTTAATGAGGACTGGCCCCTGTGTGTTTGATCCTGCTGCCAGCCCACAGCCCCGCGGCCCCTCAGCCTCATGCCTATTCAACAATCCCCACAGCCTCTCCAGTTACCCCCCCATTGCCTTGGGTAGACTATGGATCCAAAGCGAAAGCACTCCTGGGCGGCTGTTCGATATCAAAGACAGTCTGACTGAAACTGTGAGAAAAGAGGAGAAAAAAAACAAAAAAAAAAAACAACAATTTAGCTCTGTGCTTTGTAGACTTACAGGCAGCTCTGGAACAGCACATTGATCTGTTCTCTTTGTTTCGTCAGATGTTCTTCAAAAATTTCATCTATTGACTATTAAAATCCATGAAGGTTTTGAGGTTTCAAATGCCAATTAATTGGTTTCGCTGACTGTGGTCTTGGCATAAAAAACATTCACAGCGTGTAAATGATTTCTCTAAAATGGCACTTCTTCTGTTTTGTGCACAGGATGGAGGTCTGCTGATTAACAACCCTACTGCACTGGCTATTCATGAGTCTAAGTGTTTGTGGCCCAACACGCCCCTGGAGTGTGTGGTCTCACTTGGTACGGGCCGCTTTGAAACTCCTGGCAAGAACAGCACCACCTACACGAGCCTCAAAACCAAACTCACCAATGTCATCAGCAGCGCCACAGACACTGAGGGTAAGTAACTGTCACTGCAAAATGTAATGTTTTTCCCTTATTTTCTGTCATTAATATAATGTTAAAATTAGGGATGCACCGAAATGAAAATTTGTGGCCGAAGCCGAATAATATTAAACGCTTGGCTGAATACCGAAAACCGAGTACTGAATACCGAATATCATTGTTTAGTTGTTCATTAGTTTTTGCAGATGAACCCCCTCCAGATTAGTGTTGTCACGGTATCAAAATTGGGACCCACTGTGCGATACCAATGAAAATATCATGGTTCTGAGTAGTATCACGATACAACAGGGAAAATGAGGCAGATGTGTCTTTTGTCATTTATGAAAAGATAAATCACTTTTCTATAATACATCAATGATATTTCAATGGAATAAATTACTTATTGACTTATTCATACTTCAAAAACAGCATCAATCAGTGATGAACATAGGGGGGATCAAAATAAAATAAATAAATAAAATAAAAATCAACCAGCCACCCTCCTCCCCTGACAGTCCCTTCTTAAGTAATGAACAGTCCCTAAAGTGCAGTGAGGTTTGTGGACCGTTACCTGCCAGAAAGAGAGAAATGTGAAAGGCTCGTTTCTCCTCTGACACGTCACATACCTGTGTTCGGCTGGCTCGGCTGTTCAGGTACTTCTGGGCAGTCATGACGCCAAGAAGAGGATATTATTGGAGCCGACTTCTCCGTCACCCGGTAAGCCGATGGCCGCCGTATTTGACAGGAATACATTACTGTCTGTGTCTGTGACCCCCGTTCAACCCACAATCGGTGGGATTCGCCTTTCATTTCTGCTGCTGGTTGAAATCTGTGGGCTGCTCGCACAGCGTGCTGAATGATTTAAGCCTATTTTGCTCGCTCAAAACTATTTTTAGTCGCAAATGCGAGTGCCGTGACGGACGGATCGCCACACTACCATCATTTTATTCCGCCCGTTACGGCACGCCATTTGATTGCGTTATCAAAACGCCGCTATTATTCGGCCTTGCTTTTAACTTATTCCACCGAATACTGAATGTGTGTTTTTTTGCAATATTCGGCTGAATATATTCGGTTACCAAATATTCGGTGCATCCCTAATTATAATGTCAGATGTTCATATCAAATGTGGCTAAAGTTTCAAATAATGAGGTAAACATATGATCGCAGGCTACAAACCGTTCTGAATACTCTGTCTCCAACATTTCTTTCTACCTTGGAACGAAGCTGATGTCAGCTCATGACAGATTTCTTTATATGGTCATCTGCTCCAGGCACATTATTGCATATGCATACGTTACTGAACCTACACTGCTACATGTAGCTACATGCTAATGTCAGGAAAACATATAAAATTGGTTGCAAATGTCAATTTCTCAGATAATATTCTTGCTAGAACATGCCCGGTTTTGTAGTTTTTATTGGTTATTTTTCATGGTAAAAAGTGACACCACGCTCTGTTACAGTCGTTCCTGAGCTGCAAGTACACAGCTACATGTAGCTACATGCTTACGCCAGTGAAACAAGTAGTGCTGACTTCATTTTTGAAAATCGAAGCTTCAGAGCTCAGATCAATTTTGATTTTAAATCGACGCCTTTGACAACCTGGGGGGGAATGAAAAAACACCTCTGGTTGCTGATAAGTAGTGTTTAACTTTTGATTTAACACTAGAAATTAAAACCCTTGGCGCGCACTGCAGCACAAGCAGACAGACGCGCAACTCAGAGCAGCATGTGTCACTGACACCAGACTCAGAGCGCAGCGGACCGGTGGAAAATGTCACCATCAGCATATTATTTTACATCAATAAAATCTATTTTATAATTATTTTGAGTCACATTGTTGAAAGAATTTAGTTGTCTGTGTTCAAGCAGGATAAGAGGTCTCCATTCATTGCACAGTGGCCTTTCAATTTCCTTGTCCTGGTGTTGCGTTCAAGGTCCCCAAAAAAAATGGGAGGAAAAAAAGGCTGAATATTCAAGAAAAAAAATTCACAATCGAGTCCTGTGCCATCGAACGAAGCTTCGAAGCTTTGAATATTTTGGGTCAGCCCTAGAAACAAGTAGTTTTGGTTGCCATTATTGTTAATTTCTACCTGATTTTGGATCATGTATTTGCTGGAACATGTCGGGTTGTAAAGATTTTGGTCAGAAGCTTTTATTGGTGACTTTTTACAGTTGGAAGTGCCTCCAATATTCAGTTACATTCATGCCTCTGGCTGCAATGAAAGCGGCCGAGAGCGCAGATACAGAAGACCACCACTAAGAGCAGACTGGGCTTTTTTTGGGAGGGGGGCATTAAGAGACAGGCGATAAAATGTAACTCTCCACACAGAGGGTAAATATAGGTGTTCCAGCACAGATAGTATGAGGAAAATAGTGATTTGTGAGCAAAGAAGTATGTAAACTTGTCCTAGAACAAACCCAAAATACAAATATGAACCTGAAAATGAGCATAATAGGTCCCTTTTAAACATGCATTATGTATTTAGAGTTGAGTTTTCACAGTTCTCATTTCACAAGTTTGTCGGACTGTAAATGTGCACCAATATTCGACCTAGTTGTATCTTGGTTGATTCTTTATTGTTTGTCTTACAATATTACATAATGTATGTTTTTTTAAGTAGCTCTACAGTGAGTAGACAAAACAAAATCATCTTAAAGGGACACTGGCCCTGAAGGGTGCTCTCTGAAGTCTGAGAAAATGAAGAAGATGAAGATATCCTCATGGCTGTCCCAGATTTACAAATACAGATTTATAATAGAAAGCCTGTGTTACAAACTGTAGAAGTGTGTGGGTGTTTACCAAAAACTGCTGTTGGTTGCATCATGGCAAGTGTAGGATCCATCAATTTTTGAAGCTTGACCTGTCCTAGAGACTTGAAGTCTGCTGCTTTAATTTTGACCATTTGTTTTATCATTTGTCTCTCTTCGTCCCCCCTCTGTATGGTGGAATACTAAATATTTGGAGTGCCCCTGTCATCACAAAAACGCTTGTGCCAAAGTGATGATTTGATTAAAAGAGGTCTGGCACAAATGGGAGCTTTCAGAACAACTACTGGCCCCGGGTCAAAAACATCTGATTATTTTTGTCCAGAATGCGGAAACACTGGTTAATATGTCCCAAAAATCATGGCATCACTTGCCAAACACAGACAAGCTGCATCAACAGAGAGAAACACTGGTCAAAACATGAAACTCACCAACAGGGATAAGCCAGCCTAATGTTGCATAGCATCTATTGTGGCACTGTGTGCAAATCTGATTTAGTTTCCTTCATGTGTTCTCCTGAAGATTAAATTAACACACACACACACACACACACACACACACTATAGACGATATCAGAATGTACAAAGACTTATATGAATTATGCCCTTTGTTTCTGTGTCATTTCTGAGGGAAGGAGGTGGGCTTTGATGTCACCACTGTAGAAAATACTGCACTGCGGGTTAACTTCGTTCTGGATACGTCCCATTGTGGCCCTCTGTAGTGGCAACCTCTTCGTCTCCTTATCACCTCTGGACATGGGCACCTCTGCTGTGCCTAAATTTGGCTCGGTCCCCTCCCTGTTGCTGCTGCCGTGGTGCAGTGGGTGACCTAGATGCTTCTCTGCACTTGTTCCTCCTGTATTTGGGATTAAGCTCTCCCCAGCTCTCCAATGGGCTTTGTTATTTAGAAACAGCAGATTAGCAAGAGTGTTTATCACAGATTTTCTCTCTTTCCAAAAGCTTCCCTCCTGTCTCAGTGTTCACAAGCCTCCTGCTTTGTCTTAGGTGTGTCAGTGGAGCTGCGTTTGTTGTTGTACACAGATAAGGCTGATCTAATGGGGTTTTAGATGTAAACAAAGCTCCTGATGGAACGGGCTTGTACTCACTCACAAACTCAGTCATGTTAACAAGGCTACAAATTAGGTTCTTCATAAGGCAGAGCTGCAGTTTAGATCTGCAGATGAAGAGGTTTTAGTTAGTTTAGTTTCCAGTGGTTTTAGATGTTATCTTTGCGAAAATATTATGAATGTGAACATGTTTTAGGTTCTTTACATCTGTTAGCATTGTGCAGAACTGGTCATGTCCATTAAAACCAGTGTTGCCAGTTCCATTTTTTTTTAATAAATTAACCTTTTGATGTTTTGGTAACTTGAGTCACAGATTTGTTTGCGTTTTGAGTTTAGACTTAACTTGCCAAATTAAAAAAAGACTTGTAAATCAACTTGTATCTTAATACCAATGACTCATGACTTCATTTGGACTTGAGCCCTTTGACTTGAAAATACTTGATACCTTCCCCCAAGCCCAAAGATTTAGAAGTATGTCATTTAAAAAATGTGTCACGAATCAATTTATTACCCTTCATTACCTGAATCAACCAATGTTAACATTAATCGTTTTATTTCCTTTAGATATAAAACATGCAACAACATACACTGTCATTTTTTAAAGGCAGAATAGTTGTACAGAAAATAAAAGTTGGACATTTTTTCAATATATTATGAGTTAAATACAACTAGACATGACACAAGCACATCCTGTTATGGTTAACAGTGCTGTATGCAATGGAAGTGCAACATCACCTCTACTTTTTTCAATGATTAAGTTCAGTTGCAGTTGCTTTTACAAGTAAATGCAAATTTTAAGAAGCATTCATGAGTTTTGTACATTTATTATATGTTACTCTGTTGTTAAAATGGCATTACATTTGGTGAAGCACATTATGACTTGATTTGGACTTGAAACTCAGAGTTTAGAACTTGGGACATGCCTGTCTCGATTTGCAGAACAATGACTTAGTTCCACCTCTTTAAAATGGTATCAAGCTGATTCAAAACCAGTTTAGTAATTCACTGTATTTTGGAAAACTGATCCTGGATCAAGTAGAAGTGATCTAGTCACATCTCTGGTGAGAACCATGAGAAAGAAGTGCACTTACAACTTCTCATAAAATTTCTGTGATCGTGTTTAAAATCTTTCTGTTTGTGTAGTCATTGGCAAATTTTGTTTTGCCTGGCTTATGGTGCACCTGTTAAATATTAGCTTACTTTCTAGGATGCTAAAAGCGTCCTGTAACCTGCAAAATAAATGCTGGCCTGTAGTCAAATCCCATGGCAGTTAGCTTGGTGAACCCATGGATATACTGTGAACCATAGTGCAGGCTCAGTTATGGGCACACTGCAGTTTTGATTTGAATGAACCATGGTTTTCCCTGAACTACAATAATTCTGAAGTCTTTATGATTATTTTGTTTTCAGGACTTGAAATGATGATTTTCCCTTCAGAAGCTAGCTAGTAAAGATACAAGAGTGAAGTCTGTGATGTCATAATTTTGTGCAGCTGCAGTCAACAAATGAGTAGTTTGACCCACTGTGGGTATAAGCCTGCCATTGGCCTGCTATTTCAGCCGGCATTCTCCTACCCTTCCGGTATTTGTGTGCTATCATTTTGCAAAGGCAGCTGTTTAGAGCAGGTTGCCTTCTGGGCTTTCTGCCCAAAAGGGAGTTCTTGGTTAAAGGGATACTTGGCCAATTTTCAACCAGTTCTGTGTCACTGTGGTGAGTCTGTAGAGATGAACAGTTAATCCCTATTGATAATGGGTGCTATGCAATAGAGATGAATGATGGACTGTTATGTCATCTTTTTAATAACATCCCAAATGCCCACCTAGGTAATCTTTTTAGAAAATGTAAATTTCTAACAGTTATTACTGAGCTTGTTTTCCTCGTAAGTCTGGAGCTGGTGCAGGAGAAAGAGTGAATTATAATAGGATAGAAAAACATATTTAATCTCTAAAGTTGAACATATCTATTCAGTGAGCAGGCTTGTTTTATCTCAGGAATTTTGTAAACACACTTATCTTCCTTTTGCTCTTCAGTGTATAACTTTGTAGAATGTGATAATGAAATACAGTACATCGACTAGATATAAAAATACAAGAAGTAAAAGTCAATAAAACTCTCCATGCAACCTTTACTTAAAATACTCCTTGTAGACTTTTGCTCCAAAGCCTCAAAGGCAGCTGCATCTGATATAATCCATGTCTGGACTCCTGCACGGCTGAACCTCTGTGGGAACACAGGCAGAAACAACCTCCGTCACCGTCTTGGATGCTTCAGGCATATTCACCCTGTTATTGCTACTCGCTGCCTGTTTGTATGCATTTGCATGTCGTTGATTTTAAACCTCTCAGACGTAGCATTTGAAAACAACCATGATGGACAAGCCAGACATTTTCACTCGGTATTACCTCATGCTTACTCTGTAACACACGTCCTCCTGTCACAGCGCTGACAGATCTGACTTTTAACACAATCTTTGAATGTTTATACATATTGAGACTATTAGGAAGTTAATTGTGTGTTTATAGTCTGTTTGTAAAATGTTATGTTTGTTTTTTGTGCGGCCTCACTCTCACCTCCCTTCCTCCCTCCAGAGGTTCACGCCATGCTCGACGCCTTCCTCCCTCCCGACACTTATTTCCGCTTCAACCCCTACATGAGCGAAGACATCCCCATGGATGAGAACCGGCAGGAGAAGCTCAACCAGCTGCAGGCTGAGGGCATCCATTACCTGGAGAGGAACGATGAGAAGGTGAAGAAGGTGGCTCGCATCCTCACCCGAGAGAAGAGCTCCGTCCAGAGGATGGCGGATTGGGCCAGGCTCAGGGCTGACATGTATAACCGTCTGTCCTTTAAGTCGTCTAAACTCTAGATCCAACACAAGCCACCTTTACCCAACAAAATGGAGCTCTTCCCTCATTGTAAATTGCCTAGAATATGTCATGCTACCATTATGTGTCGTAGTTATTGACTTCTTGATCTGTAGCTCTGAAAAACGTTGTGTACACGCACAAATAGGCACTGTGTCCGACATGCCAAATACTACCTTCCTTCTCACTCTACACTTTGACAGTGAGTTTAGTTTTGACGTGTTGCAATCTGCAGGTAAGTGCATCTGGTTGCCACCGTGGTTGGCAGCACTCGACTTGCACTTTGTTGCGTTCAAAGGGGATTTGAGAGTTCCCTAAATAGGGATTCACTGTCACGTTTGCTTGCAAATTCGGCTTGTATTCTTAAAGGAGTAGTTCATTTTGGGAGAACATTTTGGGCAACTTGCTTTCTTGACAAATTTTAGATAAGAGGATTGATACCATGTGACACTGTATGGTAAATATGAAGATACATAGCTGGCAATCTGTTAGCTTAGCTTAGTATGAAGACTGAAATTGGGGAAGCAGCTAGCTTTGCTCTGTCCAAAGGAGACAGTTTTCAGTTTTGGATGGAGGGAACCTTTCCATAATTTTAAGAACCCCCTTGTCTGTTGTGTCCCCACTAAAAGTGTAGGAATAAGTGTAATTTTTAGTTTTTAGGGAATTTTTTTAGCTCCTATTTCACAGAAGGAACCATAAATGACGCAATTGCATGTTGACTGGTTGAACGCAGCACCGACAGCTGCCATTTTAGTCTTGTAAATAACAGACAACTCATACAACAGCTCCTAATAAAAAAGAGGAATGTACTGACAGTGAAGTCCAGGCTTTACTGAGCATGTACGTGAAGGTGATAATACAACACGATTTTGGTTTGTCAAAGCAAAAGAGACACCTGCCGTGTTTCAGTATATCAATTTCAACCTTCCTATTGGCAGTGCGAATGCAAACAGAAAAAAGCCCTTGAAGGTACGTAGTTCTCTGGGAGCTCCCTAGTTGGCAGCACCTCTCGGTGAATCCCCAGAACTGTTTGGACTGAAAACGTCAAAAATCCACCTACCTAGCTGTTCCCCATTTCCAGACTTTGTACTAAGCTAGGCTCTAGCTACATTTTTACCGTGCACACGTGAGTATAATTGATCTTCTCAACTAACTTTAGTCAAGAAAGCAAATAAAGATATTTATTAAAATGTTAAACTATTCCCTTAAAAGGCAGAATATTGTAACGTTCTATAGTAGCCAGTTACCGACTGTTAAACCAAGTGAGGACTTTTTAACCACTTGTTTCCTTTTTAGAGATTTGTGATGACAACCAGTATATCCTCACAAATTTGTGTCTCTACTGTCACAGAAAATTGTGTAGATGGGACACGTCTTGTTTGAAATTCAGTATTTGTTGAGCTTAGCTGCCAATCTGTAACTATAAAACACCAATGTAAAGAAATGACAGGAAAAAAAATCGTTCTTATTTTTGTAAACAGTCTATTAGTGTTGTCATGATACTGGAATTTCTAAGTTCAGTACAAAACTTTGGAAAATATTGGTATTTGATACCATTTCCGATACAATGGGAAAAAATTAACAAGGCATAACATTTGAATTTTTTATTTACGATAAATGTAACAAGGCTATAACATGACAACGACAACGTTGACTGTAGTAAACATTAACAGTAAGAGACAATGAGACAGTGAAGTTGGTACAGGTGTATTAATACTGCGGAAAATGAGTATTCAAATGGTTTCAAATACTCAGATTCAATATGTATCGATAAGTCGATATTATTGACAACACTACACTCTAATCGAGGTCAATTTGAGCACTGAATGCAAGTGACATTTCTGAGATGTAAGGACAAAAATTTGCACCTTAACTGAAGCAGCTACTGGTCAACTGTGTAATTGTGTACTGATAATAGTAACTGGTACATGAGGGCTCACTTCAAGCATTACAGTATTGTATGTATTGTTGTATGTAAATGCATGTTATATTTAAGACTGTTCACAAAAGAGACAAGTAAATATTTAGTAAAAAACCTGCCAAGAAGAGGATGTTGCAAAGATTTACCCCAATATTTAATTCAAAACGTCTATAATGATGCATAGTTATGGTTACATATGTAACAGATATATCAGGGTGGTCTCACTCCCAACTCGCCAGTTACGGCAACTTGGCCCTACACTTCAAACTATGACACTCTACACTCTAGTAATTGTGTTGAAAGCAAAGGAGAATTCAGGGGACACGTTATAAAGAGCAACAAAGTCTACGAAGGGAGGAAGTTGGGGAAGACGGATGGGTCAAACAAACACATGACTTTCATCTGGGACACCGGCGTTCGTGTCCCGTGTGAAACCAAAAGTCAGTGTTGACTTAAGTTGACATAAGTACTAAGAATGTCAGTTAATTTTGCTTTTGATGGCCCGACACCCAGTAACTGGTAAATAAGTTCTTAATTTTTCAGAAAAAAACAACACCAATGATATGTAATACAAGAGGCATTTCATTTTAACATAAGTGCTGCAATCCATTGACTCACTGAGCTTTAGCTTTGCATTCAGACCACATTGCATTTGCATTCATTTGTTTGTAGGCCTAAATGTCTTGCCTTTTATTTCTTTGTTGGCTTTGCTGACAGACAGTCTCCACTAGCTAGCCTTGGCTGTTCTGCACTGCTTAACACCGAGTTGGATGGGAGCTAGCTAGTGCCACCGCTTATTCGAGACTACCGCTGGTAATACTTACCCTGTGGCGGCACAGGGTCCCGGTGAGTAAGTGGCCTCATTTTGAGCTTCATATCCCCTTTAGCATTGTTAACTATTTTAGCACAACTGCTAACGGTGCTAACAGAGCTAATAGTGATAACATAGTTACCAATGCTACAAAAGGTTTGCAGCTCAATATTAAGCTGCCTACTCACCAGGGTGACATGGGGGGTCAGGGACCAGGGGTGGGCACAAAGTTTCCACAGCAACACTGTAGGGTCAGGATGGCATAATCGCCTAATGAGTCGCGGTACTAACTAGCTCCTACCAGAGCTGGGTGGTGCTCTGTGCAGTAAACTGAGGAGAAATGTTAGTAAAATGAATCTATAGGCTGACAATGTTCACTGTAGTTAACTAATTAACAGTTAAGCATTGACATCCTGAGTGATTATGTATGTTGACTTGCATAATGTATTTAACTTACATTGTGTTTGAAACATACTTTCTGTAACCCAAACCATGATCAGGTAGTTTTGGTGCCTAAACAGGAAGTTTATTTTGAAAAGAAACTGTATGAATGTAACCAGCAGAGACAGACACGTGCAAAACTGACTCTAGAGGGGTACGTAGAGAGTCATAGTTTGAAGTGTAGAGCTTGTAGTTGAGATTGAAAACGTATTTGGTATCTAAGTAACCAAATGGAGGCTCGCTCTCAAAGATTTAACTTGTATGTATTATTTTAGCCTCAGAGTATTTTAAGTTTGCTTGTTTCAATCGCTTTTATCATGGTGTGCTTGATTGTTTAGTTTTATGGATTCCCCACAGGCGCTGCACATTTTCCACTCTGTCTTCAGTGTGCCCTCTTTCTCTTTGATGCCTCTGCTCAAAAGCCTCTTTCACCCATTCTACCTTGAAGTGCTGTGTGTCCGTCCCCACTCTGCTGTACTGTAATGTCTGTCGAAATCTCGCAGGTCATAGCTGAGGGACTGGTTTGAAACAGATTGCTGCTTATTGATTTATCATGGCTTAAATTATCTTAATGACATGTACAGCTTGAAAAGATGCACTGCAGACATTCATGCCTGACCTCTTCCAGTACTGTACAACTGATACAGTGATGTGTCGGTCACTCCCAGAGGACCTGAGGTAAAGTGGATGCAGATATTACGCTGATTAATATAATTCCACTGTTCTGTTGTTGATCCTGTGTAAAGACTGTTTGAGAGTGTATGTAATTAAAACCCATCAGTGAACCTCGCTGCATCTTGCCTCCTAATTATATGAAGATTAGCTGATTGTGATCTGAGGAAACCTGCTGTTTTGCTCACAGCTTGTGGATCATCTCAGGAAGAGGAGACGTGCGGATATTAAGTTGCTAACTTGTTCTCACAACTGCTTCATTATTCCAACACAGATCTGGACTGATATGCTCCTTCGCTGCTCAATTTCCAAGGTGATTGGCTTGATTAGCAGCAAATTCTGATTTGTAATTACTACTGCAGGCACACACTGTATCTCGGCGTACCAGTGGTTCCTATTAATGTATTTTTTCTCTCTGTAACTCAAGTTGTAAAGGTAAGGGTGTATTTTTCAGGGGGAAGGTAATTTGAAGGCCCTTCCCTGAGCTGCCTGTCATAAAAGAGAGGAAGGTGAGATGAGATGACTGTGCAAGGCTGTGCCCAGGCACCTGGGTAACAACCCTGGCTGTGATGGATCGCATTTCCCTCCAGCATAAACACCATGCACTGACACAGCTCTCCACCAACTGCTTACACGCATGAAAACACAGTGATGGCCACAGAAGGCAGAGGACACAACAAACAGCATCAACTGTGGTTTGCGGAGGGAAAAAATGCAGGATGGAGGTCATGCACATGTATTGTTTTACCAGGGATTTAAAAGGGTTACACAGCAAATGACGAAAGAAACGCATGCAAAAGGTGGCTGACCTCATAAAGAATAAATAGGGTGTATCCCCAGCCCTGTCGCCAGAAGAAAATGTTGGCAGTGTTTGCTACATTTGTAGGTCTTGTATGTATCATAACCATGTTTCTAAAGTGAAGAATATATAAGCTGATTTTGTCATTGGGAGGTGAGGGAGATAGAGGATGGCGTGTCACCTATGCAAGATGTCTGCCAAGCTGTCAACTACTACAGACCACAGTCAGAGACCATCAAACAAAGAAGCAGTGTTAATTCCATCTTGTGAAGGGCTCGTTGTATTAGTGAAGTATGTACTGTCAATCAAAACATAAAATGCAAGTCTCCTTAAAAAACAATCCAAGGCACACTGTAGGGTTTGTGCAGTCATTAAAATTGCTTTATTTTACATGGCAATATACATTAAAAAAGACAAACTCATTGTGACTCACAGGTCTTCATCAGGGTCTTTGTCTACTATGCAAAATAGCACCTGTATGTGACTATTACTAAGACCCAGCAGCGCTTCTACTCCTTTGTCTTCAAAACAAACAAAAAAAAGTGTTTCCAGTGGCATTTTAGGCGCCAAACTGGGTGTTTTTAGGGACCCATCACTGTTCACTGCAGAGAGTGCTACCAAAAGTGCTTTTATCAAGACATTTTTTTAGTTGAGACATTGCTTCTTTTCCTGCTGGGATAGTGGCACAGAAAGTGGCTATTTTTGCTGAGACATCACTGCATTTCCTGGTGGGATAGTGCAAGCAAAATGCAGTTGTATTTTTCCAAACACTGCTTCTTTTCCAGACGAGTTAGTGCCACGAAAAGCGCCTGTTTTTGCCATGACATTGCTGCCTTTCCTGCCGGGATTGTGCCCCCCAAAATTGCTGTTTTAAGCCAAAACATGATGTTTTTCTAACAATTACCAAATGTTTTTGTGCCTTAACCTAACCACATATTAATCAACATAAAGATCTTCTACATAATAACATGCAAATGTAACGTATCCATGGTTTGCAGAAACATACAATGCGAACATTTATTCTAGCGACTGGGTCAGTTTCCAAAAATATTTATAGTATTAATAGAACAGTGGCATGATTGGGGCGCCCAGTAGCTCAGTGGGTAGAGCAGGTGCCCCATGTACAAAGGTAGTGTCCTTGCCACAGCAGCCATGGGCTCAATTCCAGCTCATGGCCCTTTGCTGCCTGTTGTCCCCCTTCTCTCACCCCTTAATAGTGACATGATTAAGGAGATCAAAATACCAAATTAAAAGACATCCCTTGCTCAGCAGATTAAAGTAGCAGACAAATGTGTAAATCTACTAAATTGTTGAGGAAAATGTGTCTCTGTGGCACGTGCATGATCACACGCTGAATTTGTCAGCTTGATTGTTCACTCAGTAAAATTACATCTTAAATAGTTCCTGATTAGGCTCATTCAGATATTTGGAATTACAGCCGCTAAGTATCAGATAACTTAGAATAACACCATCATTGCTGGATGAAGAGCCTCTTTTAACACACATTTATCAAGGGTCTTTGAGGACTATTATATGGTCATCAGTGTGCTCTGCGGTAAGCCTGTAAAAGCACACTCAAAGAGGAAGCTTTCATTCCTCTGATTTGGTGTTGATTTTTCTGACACCAAATTACTGATGGTGGGGTAATCAACACACGGTCATCAAGAGGCGCCTCTGTTTCTCAGCGCAAATTAGTCTTTTTATCTAGCAAGTTTTAACTCTCTTATCAGAGAGATGTTTGGAGAAATGTTTCCTCTTCATTAATCAGCCATGTTGCATGTAGACTAGTTTGTGCTTGTGTAGACCGGTCTAGTTAGTGGAGCCATAATACTGGAGGCTGCCCTTTAACACAGCATTCCTGGCTACAGTGATTGCCAGGAGTTGTGGTACCCACCTCTCCTCTCTGCTGCTAACCTTGTGCAGCCATTACGGGATCAGCTGTCAAGTATTGGGGTCGTAACGCGTACAGTTTGAAGACCACAGTCAATGCAGTAACTTTTATTCTGTCCTTGCTGGAGAATTCTTAATATGATCCCTCACAGCCTGGCGTGTCAAAAGACACGTAGCTCTCCTGATCTGCCGTTGACTCTGAACTTAACCTGTTGTGTTGGGAGCCACACTGTTCAACAGTAATCTCAGAGAGTAAGGAGCAGGATATTGCATGTAGTGTTAAGGACTGTACTGTTTACAAATGTCTTTGCCCTGCTTACTGCACCCACACCACCTATTAACCTTGTGTTGACCTCAGTCTCATGCAGCTTCAAATGAAAGTATCTACTGTCACACCTAATAACAAGAAGACCCGCTCAGAGATGTGAACCCCGTCACAAATTATCAAGTACTTTCCACTGCAGCTGAGCTTCTGGGAGTGCAAAGAGCATGTTTTCCAATTTTTGAGGTTAGGAGACAGTTTATTAACTCTAAATCACAAGGCAGGTCCTCTCACATCCTCTGTGGTTAAGAGTTGATACTGTAAACTGTCTCTAAACGCAAAGCACACTATGCAGCGTCTGTTTCTCTTCACTCTGCAGTCACTGAAAGTGATTACTTAAATTCTCAGTGTTTGCCCTTAAAATTGACCTTACATGTTTTCTCCTCAATTGTTTGACCCAATAGAGACCAGAGCAAACTCCTATTCCGACACATAAATGAGGATCTTAAACCAGAAGATGTAGCCTTTAAAGGAATACTTCACCCCCAAAATGATCATATGTATGTTTTCCTTGCATGCCTACATGGTGAACCAGGCCAGGCGCCAGCATGAAGGGACTGAGGGGACTGTTAAAATTGCAAGGGGGCAGTTTTTTATACCTAAAATAAGATTAATTGATTTAACCATGCCATAGTCTGAAAACGGCGAAAGAACAGCAACCGAGGCTGCTGATTCAAAATCAAGAAATACATTTATGAATCAGCAGGCCCACTGACGGAGGTTGGGGGGGGTCGAAGGGTACAGATGACCCCAGCCCAAGGCAAAGAAGGGATCAAGGCATTTGCTCCGGAGCAGGTTAACTTCAGGGTGTCGGATCACAGCGTGTCAACACCCCAACTTCTTACTTATCAGATCACTGAAGGAAACAGTATCCATGGACAAGAGTATCAGGCAAAAAAAAAACCTGATTTAAAAATAACGAGACACCTGTGTCGTGAGAACTGAAAAAAAAGTATATTTCATTAGAAAAAAATCCACACACTGTTAATTAGCTTCTGTGATTATAAATGCAACATTTGGGTCAGATAGACCTCATCAGTCATTAACTAGGCTACTTTTCCACCCTTTAATTCAGCAGGAGAAACAGTCAGACATTACTTTATAGTGTTTTATGTGACATATTCAGAGTAGTTTAATCATGATCCAACTAAACAGCAAAAAACACTCTAGTATCGTTTACATCCCAGCAATTGACATTTTACTGTTTCGCAGTCCCAAACACTTTAGGTACAGTTTCATCTCTCATCATTCATGGTTCTGTTGTCGCTCGTAATTAACTCCCCCGCCTTTTTCACATGAACGTGCTCATGGCTGGATAGGAAAACCCACAGTTGACTGAACTAGTTGATGACCAGCTTTGTGGTACCTGTTATCCAGACGGCCAATGTTACTGTTAGTCAGGCCAGAAGATATCCTGGGTAAGTTGAACTGGCTTCGTAGTACAGGCCTCTGTTTCCCTTCCTAGTGTCTCATGTTTGTTTTCAGTCTGTCTCTGTGTGTTTGCTGGGCGTGGCCCTCTGGTTCCCTCCTCCTGCCAATCCTCCTGAGTGCCAGCAGCTGCTGAACCTGCACACCTGAACCTCATCTATAATCAAGCTACTGTAATAGAAAACCTCGGCTCAAACATCCAGATCGTTCAGTCTCCTCTGTGGAACAGACATCAAGGACAACTTCTAGTTTTTTGACACTTTGTCTTTTTGTACTTTTGGGCATCAATTCACACTCTATTCTGTGTCTCAGGTTCACCAAGCCAGCCTGAACCATAACCCGCCACGTCTAGCCTCGTTTTTGTCTTCTGCCTCTGGATTTAGCCAGCTCTGCGTCGCCATTCTCTGCCCACCTCAGCCATCATTTCATTCAAGCCTTCAGCTCCACTTCTTCAAACTACAATTAACTGCCTTTAACCATTCCCTGTCTCCTGGTTGTGTTTGCATTTTGGATCCTAAGTTGAACTGCCACCACATCTTTATGCTATATCCATTCACAATTCTCTCTCTATCCTGCTCCCACCACTTCCCCCAATCAGCTGACTATGGGCATTCCTTTTCCTAGTTAGCCTATCAAACTTCGCCACGATCTCCTTCAGCCATTCATGCAAACTT